TATCCAACCTAAATCTTCCCCCACTGCAACTTTAGACCATTACTCCTTGTTCTGTCATCTAATACCACTGAGAGCAGTCTAGATCCATCCTCTTTAGAACACCCTTTCAGGTAGTTGAAAGCAGCTATCAAATCCCCCCCTCATTCTTCTCTTCTGCAGACTAAACAATCCCAGTTCCCTCAGCCTCTCCTCATAAATCATGTGCTCCAGCCCCCTAATCATTTTTGTTGCCCTCCGCTGGACTCTTTCCAATTTTTCCACATCCTTCTTGTACTGTGGGGCCCAAAACTGGACACAGTACTCCAGATGAGGTCTCACCAATGTCGAATAGAGGGGAATGATCACGTCCCTCAATCTGCTGGCAATGCCCCTACTTATACAGCCCAAAATGCCATTAGCCTTCTTGTCAACAAGGGCGCACTGTCGACTCATATCCAGCTTCTTGTCCACTGTAACCCCTAGGTCCTTTTCTGCAGAACTGCTGCCTAGCCATTTGGTCCCTAGTCTGTAGCAGTGCATGAGATTCTTCCATCCTAAGTGCAGGACTCAATATTTTGTTTTATCCTCATTGTTCAATGTGTGTGGCCTCATGCCATAAGTACTGCAGATTATTCAAACTTAACTGAAGACTGAATTATTTCCTCATGGGCTTTTCTATGGCACTCATCACTGTAATATGAATGCTTCACAAACATACATTAATTTTATAACATCTCTGTGGGGTGAGGGAGTGATATCACCACCATCTGTAAAATGGGGAGCTGAGGCACCTATTAAGATCAAAAATTTCTGCTAATTGTGGGTGCCCAGCTTGAGATGACCAGGATCTAATTTTTCAGAGTACTTAGCATTGTGAGGCACTTTGTATGTTCAAAGTCCAGCTCTAATTGTCTTCAGTTGCAACTGTGAATTTCAGCATGTCTGCCAATCAGAACCTCTGGATATCAAGTTGGGCACCCAGAGCTTATGCCCAGGTGACTGCACTCCGGTCTGCTGCCCCCTCACCATTTGCCCCTGCTGCCACTGCCTCATCCAACATCAACAGGGGCCAGGCCCCCTGCCCCACCCTGACCAGAAGGCACAGCATCCATTGCTTCCTGGGGGTTGCCTTGCCTCACATCAAAACTTGTGTGGGCATTGGCATGGGTGGTGGGGCCCTTGGCCATTGAAGCAGCCTCCAAGATGTATGGGAAAGTCATTTGCCTGACATCAGAGGCTGCTGCCCAGGAGGTGGTGGAGAAAAGCATCTCGGGGTGACCCTTTTGTGCCCCTCAAGCTCCTGGAGGCCCTAGGTGCACATGAACATTGACCTTCAGTGCTCTCTTGCTGAGCCATAAAGACTCCACTCTCTGCCATGTCATCTTGTTCTGCTGGCAGACTGCACAGCAAGGGGAGCTTGGAGGGGTCATTCCTGGTGCCCTGTACCAGGTCCATTCACTGGGGGAGGCTTGGTGCTTCCTCTGATGGGTTTTGGGGAACATCCAGAGGGACACTTGGCCTGGTGAGGAGGGCTGTCCATAGGGTGACCAGACAGCAAGTGTGAAAAATCAGGACAGGGGGTGGGAGGGTAATAGGAGCCTATATAAGAAAAAGCCCCTAAAATCGGGACATCTGGTCACCCTAGCTGTCCAGCATCCCCTCTGCTCAGGAGGGTGTAGGATCTGCTGCTGCTGCCGCCATCCACCCAGTTCCCCCATCTCCTCCACCAGCTGATGATCCTGCTTGGATGCAGGGGTTGCCCTCCCTCTCATGATCACCCAAGCAGACAGACGCTGCTGCTGTTGGGGGGGGGGGGGTCTATAGAGAAAAAGGTTGTGGTGATGTTGGATAGGTCCTCTCCTGGGCTATCTCAGGGGGAGACCATCCCTGCTTCCCCAAGCTCTGAGCCCATCTCTCTTGCACCTCCTCCCCCTCTGGTCAGCCTTCCAAGGACACCCTGGAGGCCTGGGTACTGGCTATATGGAGAGGAAGTGCAGCAAGCATAAGTTGTGGGTCCAGCCTCTCCCTATCAAGAAGCAGGAGGATGCCTCCTGTAAGGCACCTGGAGAGGCTGTAGCTGGGCCTACTTTTGTGCCCCCTCAGAAAGCCCAGCTACTAGAGCTGCCTCACAAAGCTCTGGCAGCAGAAGAGGGCAGAGATGTTCCTCCCCAGTGGAACTCACCTCAATCTCTCCTGGAGAGGACCTCCTCAGGCAGGGGTCTCCCTGTGATCTTCCAGGAGATTGAGGCCCTGGATCTAACTCCTTTAGTCCAGGTGGAGGATGACACTCTGAAGCAGGTCTGGGTCCCAAGTCCATCGCAGGGCCTGCTATTTTCAAAAGCGCACACATGACTTAGGAGCCTACATCCTATTTTCAAAGATGACCTAGGCACTTG